ACATATATATATATATATACTATATTCTATTAAACGTCAAATATGATGTACTAACACAGTGTGTTTATTAGGTGAAAAAAAAACCCAACCTAATACTTTAAGTAGAACTCCTTGTTCCCTGTTCGTCTGCCAGGCTGGTGTAAACAAACCAAGGATGAACCTGTTTACAGACAGCGTGGCAACAACATTGAATGTGTTGTCAGTGATAACAGTCAGATGTGATTATTTGTTGGTGTTTCCGTTCGCGGGTTTGAAGTCCAGAGGTCTTGCGTTTGAAGGTAGCTCATCACTGGTCTTCACAAAAGCGTGAAGATATGCCGCTGTTTCACTTTCTGTCAGATTGCTGGATCTAAGTGTTGCCGAGGTCGGGGTCAGCTGAAAGCAGTGGCGGTTAAAAGGAAATCACAAGGTGAAATGCACGAGTAAACAATGAGCGCAACGCTGGAGGGGCTCTTAAAAAGGTCCTCTGTGTGGTTGAATTGGAGGCTGAGATCACTCGATGTCTGATTCTCCGCTGTTGTAGAGCACTCCCGTTGGACTTAGTGAACAACTTCAGCCTCTTGTCGTCTCACATCCCACACTCTGTGGGCATGATATCTTAAGAGACTTTCTCTAAGTGTCGTTCAGTGTAACTACAGCACCACCAAGACAGAATTATCCATTTACTTCTTCAGTTGACTCAAGTTAGGTAAAGTCAATACAATAAATGCGTCCTAACTTTGGAGCTCCAGTAGCTTTAGTACAACTTTAATTTATTTAGTTGTTCAGACTTGTGACTACCTGGAAAACATTTAAAGGTAACTGAGTAGTCAACAAGAGGAAACTGTTTCACCTGCAGTTGGAGTTGACATGAATGTCTCTGAGCTGTGGTCAGGTCAGGTGGTCAGGTCACTGCTTTGTTAGTATAATGAGTCTGTGCTGCTATTCCTGGGTCATTGGAATTGCAAATTGTCTGTAAAGGAACAAACTATTTGACATAAGTATCCCGGTCTCACTACACCTTCTACTGTCTGATGGGCTTCATCTGATGCCGTGTCTCAAATGCTGTGAAACCTACCTTTATTCCATTTATTTATATTTTTTTCTTAACTTGTCGGGTCTTTGCAGTTAACAACAAACCTTTAGTTTTGTTGTGAATGAGGCCGGCATATTTACCACAGTTTCAATTCATGAGTGAAATGAATCAGATCAAAACACTTGAACGCAACCAAATGCTACAATGCTACAATGCTAAAATGCTAAAATGATTTCGACAAAACACTTGAACGCAACCAAATGCTAAAATGCTAAAATGCTACGAGTCATGGTTGCAGTATTTTTAGATTTCGGTCTTTGGTTACACAGGGTTGTGTTTCAGTCATGTGGTATAAAAACTTTTAAACACAACACAGGTGGTGATGATCGATCAATAGGAAAAAAACACCGGTGCTCTGTGTGTGTGTGTGTGTGTGTGTAATATCTGTGTAATTTTTACTGAGCACATGGTAAACCAGTTTGTTTAGTCACACGATGTACCTGTCCTGCCTCGATAATAGCCAAACCTAGTCCAACACTGGGCAGCATGTACTGACAGGACTTGATCTGACAGTGCCGTAGCGCCGGCTAATTGTTATGGTGCCTCACCTTCATAATCATGGTTATTGTGAACCATCAGGCGTTTCCAGCATCTTGATTAATGTACTGCGCGAGGCAGGGCTTTGCAGATTTTTTTTTTTTTTTTTTTTTTTGGAGGCAGCAGAAAATGTACTTCTCAGTACACCTCTGATGTGTGCAGGTTTTGGCCTTGTTTTCTGTACTTTGTCCTACCACTTCCAACCAGTACCCCCC